TTCTACGACGATGTCGTATTGGCCACAGTCGATTTACACATGACTATCTGCTGAAAACGGATGGGGATGGACCCCCCATGTGTGTCTCTTGCGATGAGGTGATCACCGTCAAGCATATTCTGCTTGACTGCGTGGACTTATCGCCTGCAAGGGACTCACATTATGATGCAACAAACCTAAAAGATCTGTTCTCACGCGTGAGCGCCCATCTGATACTGAACTACCTGAGGGAAGTTGATCTGTATCATAAATTGTAACTGTGAAATGTAACAACCATAAATTGTAACTATGAAATGTAACAAACCGCCTGCCTTTAAAATTTGATGCTATGACTTTTTCTGCTTTTGAATGACAATGTAATCAATAAATGTCTTTGAAACAAAACTCATTCCGAGTATGTACTTACAATATTTACTAATGCAAACTTGTTCTCGTCACTATATGGCTGGAAAAATGCCGAAGTGACGTAAAGCTCAACTCAACTCAACTCAACTCATCACAAGGGATACGAAATGGAGGATCTTCGCCTTTTAAAAGGTACTCATGCGTATATCTTGTGTGGCCAATACGACATCGTCGTATGATGACCTCTTCAAATCTGGACTGACAACCCAAGTAAGTGTAACCGATAATGGGTTTTATTTCATGTAATTTATTAATACCTACTTGGGTATCCCACTTCTTCTGCATCAGATCACGGATGTAGGTTCTAATGCTAGCTTTGTAATCAGAGTAAGGAATAAGAAGTGGTGTCACAGATTTGTTGAGTGCTGCCTGAGCAGCAATATCAGCCATCGTGTTACCAGAAATGTCAACGTGGCTGGGTAACCAACAAAAGACGATGTCGCATTGGCCAGTAGCAAGTTCATTGTACATTTCAATAATTTCTAATAAAAGTGGATGTTTGCAAGAAAGATTTTTAATAGCCTGAAGACACGAAAGAGAATCTGAAAAGATGAAATATTGTTTATATTTACGGTGTTTATTAATAATCTGGAAGATATTGTTTTGGAACCAATGACAGTGGCACAAGCAACCGCGCCACCATCCTTGGATCCATCAGTATATAAGGATTTATAGGTATTATATTTATTTCTTAATTGACTAAATTCTTGTTTATACTGTAAATCATTAGTTTCGGATTTTTTAAATGTGGTTAATGTTAAGTCAACTTCTGGCCTTACCAATTGCCAAGGAGGAGAAGAAAGGAATGGTTTAATTCTGTGCCCAAGAGGCGGAACAAGAGAAGGCTTTTTGTTATACAAAACCTCATAAAGAGGATTGAAGACACAGGTAAATGCAGGATTAGATTCGTTTGAATATAGTTTGGTAATATATTGTAAAGATAATTTAATACGGCGTTGGGAAAGAGAAGGCTCATCTGCCTCAACATAAAGACTATCAACTGGAGAGGTTCTAAATGATCCAAAACACAGTCTTAGACCTTGGTGGTGAACAGAATCAAGTAGTTTAAGGTTGCTTTTGCAGGCTCCGCCATATACGATCGAACCATAATCAAGTTTAGATCGTACCAATGATCGGTATAAGTGAAGAAGCGTAGTTTGATCCCCTCCCCACTTTGAATTGGAGACAACCTTTAACAAATCGAGTGCCTTCAGGCATTTAGCTTTAAGGGATTTAATATGTGGGAATCGAAAATTAGGCCCAAGAATTTGGCCTCCTTTACAACTTTGATGGGAGTGCCATTTAAAGATAGTTCTGGGTCTGTATGCGGCCTATATTGTCTACAAAAGTGTAGACAATTAGTTTTGGACTTTGAAAATTTAAAGCCGTTTTCAAGACACCATTTATTTACACAACTGCAATTGCCGTTCAATAGTATGCATATTTTTACCACGACAAGAAATATTAAAATCATCCACAAAAAGTGATCCATCGATTGAATCGTTTAAAACCTTGGATAAACTGTTTATCTTGATACTAAATAAAGTGACAGACAAAATACTGCCTTGAGGGACACCCTGATCCTGACTGTAATGATCAGACAGGGTTGAACCCACTCGGACTTGAAATTGCCTGTCTTTTAAAAACCGTGATATAAAAAGAGGCAAACGGCCTCTCAAACCAAAATCATGTAAATCCTTTAAAATGCCATGCTTCCAGGTGGTATCGTATGCTTTCTCGAGATCAAAGAATATCGATACGGCATGTTGTTTATTTACGATTGCATTTTTAACCAACGATTCAACATGTATTCAGTATCACTTACATTTGACAGGTGTTGTTAGTTCTCTTCAATTACTTCCAAATTAAAACACACAATGATTTATTGTTACCTGCACTACATGTTAATTGTGTAGTCAAATCTCAAGAGTCCACATCCAATTTACGCAAAAAGTGAGTTTGGTAATCTCTTACAAAGATGGGTATATGTATGTTTTGAGTTATAATTTTGGCTAAAAAAACTGACTAATTTAACAAATCTAAAATAACTTCTCTGGGAAGTGAATTCGTTGTAAAATGTTTTCTTTAGTCATGGTACATGATTTAGTGCTCGTCTATGACATGACTTTCCTTGAATTTTGTATTCACAATGTTAATGTGTTTTAAGGGGTCTTTGCAGGTGATCAGTAAAGTAAGATTTTGAAATGGTGAAATGTATGTTTATTTAATTACTTCAGATCTGGACCATTGCCATAAGGCTAAGTCTGCCATTAAACAGGTTAACAAAACATGAAATCACTTAATTCATTACTGTGACCTCAATATCTTGTAGACAAGATTCTAAATGTTGTTCTCATTATTTAATGTATATGTCAGGGTAGAGACTGCGATGAGATTCTACCAGTAGAGATTGCGATCGTAGTCTCTACTGGTAGAGACTACGATTATATGGAATAACCTATGCAAGCAAGTGCAAGCTTATGCAAGCAAGTATAATAAGTGGGGATAATGTTTTCCTATTATTTGCCAGCTATATTTCAACTTAATTATTGTTATCTTGTTAACTTTATTTGTTAAGTTTGTTTTGGAGTAAGGTATTTTGTTATTGTTTTTTGAGTGGAGTCCAAATTTGGTATCAATAGTAAACTTCAAAATTTTAATGGGTCATTTTTATTCTAATGTGCGAAAAGGCCTATGGCTTTCACAATCCCTGGACATGTATATAATGCTTGACAATGCATTGACCGGCCCAACCAACTTGTGAAGATTTGTATTACACGTGATGATTGGCAACTGATGCCATACTAACATGCTGAATCAAGCTGCTGTCAAGATGCAAACAAGACTTTTTTTATAATGTCAAATTTTAAATGGTTTTTTATTTTGTTTAGTAGTGTTCAGTTTGTCTTATGCTAAATTTGTTACTGAAGCAATGTTAAAATTATATTTATGTCAAAATGTCCTTTATGTTTGAATCAATCACTTGCAATAAACACTCAAAATCAAGTAAGATTCTTGTCAGGTAGGTTGTGTTTTTCAATGTTACAGTATTTCTTTTTACAAATCATAGTTTTTGTTATGCTGAGTGTGGCCATGATGATGAACCAGTTCCGAAATTATGTTGTCAGCATTCTTATGCTGGTGGGATTTGACCACAAGGGAATTGTTTGTTTTCAACAAATGGAATAATTCATGGCAAATGGCTATAAAAATCAGAGCAAGTACCCATTGCGTCAACCCCACAAAAGAGCCATGTGTGCAGACATTATAAATATCTAGCAGCAGCATTTAAACAAAATGTTGTGTTACAAAGAACATTAGAATTGGTCATTGAAGGAGACACTTGTACTTTCTTCTTGTGTGATGGGGACAAACATCTCATGTTGATTTGATGCTGCAGATATGTATATAAAAGTTCATAATGTCAAAAAATTAACAACAGCAAGTTCGTATATACCAAAATAACAAACAAAACTTTTGCACAAGCAAAAGAATATACAGTTTTTATTTCAGACAGTTACAAACATTTGTTTGATGTTCATTATTGTGTAGCCACTATAGGCAGTAGTTTGATCCACATGAGATGCCTGGCATGAACGTAATACGACAACTGTCATGCCAATAGCAGCAATTTGTACATAAATGAAGACATGTTGGAGCATTATTCATCACAAATTATTTAACTTTCTGGATAGAAATATAAGTGTGATAACTGCAACAATCTAACATATGGTATATTTGTACATAGACATTTATTAGACATACTTAAAGATTTTTCTATCAGATAATCACATTAAGCATATATATATCTAGTGTGGTAAGCTTTCATGGTAACAGTGTCATGAAATTAAACAAATTTAGATGTAATTCACACATGACTAAGAATTTCCATCTTGGTATTTTGATTTGTTAACACGTCTAAATCAACTCTGCAGAATATGCTTCTTTCATCTACGAGCCATTGGCAGAATACGCCATCTCATCAGTCGTGATGCAGCACACGGTCTGGTCCAGGGACTTGTTATATCAAGAATTGATTACTGCAATAGCCTCCTTTTTTTGCTATTTCTCAGAAGCTGCTATCAAAATTGCAAAATGTCCAAAATACAGCCTCCCGAATCATAAGCAGAACTTCAAAGCGCTCACACATAACACCTGTCATGAAAAACCTCCACTGGCTGCCTGTTAAATCAAGAATTGACTTTAAAATATTGTGTTTTGTCTACAAATGCCTCAATGGCATAGGCCCAGAATACTTGAAAGAACTTCTTACCAGAAAGACAGCTCCGTTCTCAGAATCTGAACCTACTCTCTGTGCCTCGGTTCAAACTGCAAACTTTTGGAAGGAAATCCTTTGTCTGCTCTGCCCCCTCTACTCTGGAACTCTCTCCCTATCACCATTAAATCAGCAGTTGACTTTTATTCCTTCACACGACTTCTCAAGACTCATCTGTTTTCACTGCATTATGACTAGCAACTAGTCCCTTATTATATATATGTATATTATCCACTCACTTTGTTAGCGCTTTGAGCATGGGCCTTGTGCATGGAAAAGGCGCATTATAAGTTCACATTTATTATTATCATTATTATTTGTCACCAGTTAGTTTGTTTCTTATGTAACATTGATAATATGTTGCGCGAAAAAAAGCTACGGCAATACATGAAATCCATCTTTGTCTTTATTGTCACAATAGTTTGATGACTGAGTTACGGTCTTGGACCCTGAATATATCAACCAAGATGAACTGTTCATCAAGCATTTACTGCTGGACAGTAACCCCCATTGGCTGTATGAAACCTCATCAAGCGATGAACGTCAGAATGTCTAAAATTGGAAAAATTAACAGATTCTTTTATAATACATTTTAAATTAAGCACTGAAATATCAAATTCAAGGTCATAACCAACAAGATAGCCATAAAATAACATAAGCATACTATACACTGGTCCTGTTCAATCTGACCATTCAAAGAGTTCATCACACATAACATTAACAACAACTTTGAGATTACTTGATGTATCATTTAACCACAATTAATTAAAAATCAATTTTAAATCAGGTTAGATCTACAATAAGTATTGTTTTGAAGGTTCATGTAAGGGATATATATCCTTCAACATTCATTAACCTAGGGTTTGATGTACCAATAATAGTTTGTTCAGTTTCTTTCACATGCAATTCCTATTTTCAAAACATGAATATTTAGTAGAAATTACACAGTAAGTCAGTTCTCAGTAAAACACTAATATGGATACATTTACGCTTTAATGTGTAACTACCAGCTGCAACTAGCAGTATCGTGTCTGTAAAGCAATTGTGTCACCACTTATTGAACTAAATTCATACATCACCTACATATATGATCCAAACGGGGTTACGTCCCTTGAACGGCGCAGAGTGAACAAGTATATTTTTTAAAGATATTTGACTTGCTGACAGATATAAATATTAACGTGATAAATGTTCGAACTTGCGTTATATTCCGGTTCGATCCGAAACTCAATTGACGACACTGACGTAGCGCGAACATTTAGGAAAACAGGTTATCTGACAATTGTAGCAAATCATGGAGGCCCATGTGACGGACAAGTTTTCACCCACTTTTCTAAAAGAGACAAATAGTTGCAATTTAGCGCCCCGTGACCATCAGAACTACACAGAATGTACACAACGATGTATTGTTCTAATAATACAAACACTTACACGAACCGATCTCTGGTAGTTCCTTTCTTATGTCCGTTTACAACTCACTAAAAAAACAACAACTTTCGTCACGGTTGCAATGGCGGGAGCTGCGCGCGCCACCTACCTACGGACATGACCCAAACAGAGTTAACTCCCTTACACGTGATTCGACCAATTGTTCTATTCATTGATTTGCTGACATATACAAGAGTCAAATCTGATTCAAAACAAGCGTTAAAGCCCTAACATTTAATTCCGATACGTAACACAATTAGACACAGAAGAAGCGCAAACATTTAAGAAAAACAGGTTATCTGACGATCGCAGCAAATCATGGAAATACGTGCCCACGTGACGGACACAATATTCATCCACTTTTATAAAAAAACCAATACTTGCCAAATACCGCCGTGTGACCATTAGAACTTCTTGGAATGTACACAGCAATGCATTGTTCTAAAAATGCAAACATTTAAATGAACAGATCTGTCGAACTTCCTTTAAAATTTCCGTTTACATCTTGCTCAAAAAAAGAAACTTTCCTCACCTGTTGCAATGGCGGTCGAAGAGGCGGGAACTGCGTGCGCCACCTATCTGTGAACACGATCCCAAACAGAGTTACCTCCCTTACACGCCGCCGAGTTCCTAAACAAATGACAGCAAATGAATTTACAAAAACAACGTATTCTAAATGACTTGTTCATTTGCCGCATTAGACTGGATTATTTGCCCTCACCGCACTTCATGACGATAGCTTTATGCATTTTAGCTGTTTAATATGCATGCTCAGATATCATATAAATAGATTATCATATGGTCTGGTATAATTTATAAGAAAAATAGATGTATAATATTTGGAAAAAAACCATACATCGGCTACAGTGGTATTTTCATTTATTATTTGTCAATTCATTAACTGTGTTGTTTTTCAGTTGAGTTGAGTTGAGCTTTACGTCACATCGGCATTTTTCCAGCCATATAGTGACGAGAACAAGTTTGCATTAGTAAATATTGTAAGTACATACTCGGAATGAGTTTTGTTTCAAAGACATTTATTGATTACATTGTCATTCAAAAGCAGAAAAAGTCATAGCATCAAATTTAAAGGCAGGCGGTTTGTTACATTTCATAGTTACAATTTATGGTTGTTACATTTCACAGTTACAATTTATGATACAGATCAACTTCCCTCAGGTAGTTCAGTATCAGATGGGCGCTCACGCGTGAGAACAGATCTTTTAGGTTTGTTGCTTCATAATGTGAGTCCCTTGCAGGCGATAAGTCCACGCATTCAAGCAGAATATGCTTGACGGTGAACACCTCATCGCAAGAGACACACATGGGGGGTCCATCCCCATCCGTTTTCAGAAGATAGTCATGTGTTAATCGACTGTGGCCAATACGACATCGTCGCAAAATTACCTCATCGCGTCTTGACTGACAACCCAAGTAGGTATAACCGATTGTTGGCTTCAATCCAATCTCAACAGCACAACATATTATCAATCTCAGCTCCCTGCTGCAATAAGCCGCAGTGAGTTATTGCAGCTTTACCATCGTTACGAGGTGCACATTTGCAGCTGGGTGAAAATGTGTTGATTGATTATAACTTTAGCCCTTACATACTCCATTAGCAAAGTAAGCGTTTTGATGTGCAATGTTATCCACAAAGTACTCCAGTCAATATTTTCAGTTATGATTGAATGTTTAATACATGTTAATAAGGACAGACGTTCAAAGTTTATATCCACCTAACCGAAATCCACCATGGCAAATGGTGAAACCACAGGTCGATCTTACACTCACCAAACTCAAGAAGTCTGAAACAAATCCCTTGGTGTTTCAACAGGAATACAACCAGTTACGTTCGAAGTATAACACTCACAGATCCATTTTCACAGACGGATCCAAGGACGATGGCCAAGTTGCCAGCGCTACAGTCATCGGAGCCAAGACTGTCTCCTCTAGGATCCCCGACAACAGTTCCATTTTCACTGCTGAAGCCAAAGCTATCTTCTCAGCTTTGACCTACATTCAACAGCAAAATCAGTCCAAAAACTTCATCGTATTTACAGATTCATTATCCTGCCTTCAAGCACTTCTAAACGTGACTTCAAGTCACCCAATCATCCTAGTGAGTGAGTGAGTTAAGATTTAAAGTCACATCGGCAATATTTCAGCCATATCGTGACTAAAGCAAGTTATAAATATATCAACAATTTAAGTGAAATTATAAAATTCTGCCGACGAAGGACAGTAAAATAACTAGATAATCACAGATATATATGTAAAACTAGTAATTGAATCTAAAACATTTTAACTATAGGGGACAACACAATATAAAAATGGGCTATAGATCGCCACCAACTGAAGGTAGATCACCATGCTAGGAGCCATGCCCAATCATCGTAGACATATTAGAACTGTACAACGACCTTTCTACTGGCCAATATGACATCATCCTCTGCTGGTTGCCGGGTCACGTCGGCATAGCAGGTAACACTAAGGCCGATGCTGCAGCAAAAGGAGCTCTTCAAAAGCCCCTATCTCCACTGCTAATCCCGTACAGTGACTTCAAACCCACTATCAAAAGCTATACTCGGGACCTGATACAAAAAAAGTGGGACACTCAAGTAGGAAGAAACAAACTCCATGAATTGAAACCAACAATCGGTTATACCTACTTGGGTTGTCAGTCAAGACGCGATGAGGTAATTTTACGATGATGTCGTATTGGCCACAGTCGATTTACACATGACTATCTGCTGAAAACGGATGGGGATGGACCCCCCATGTGAGTCTCTTGCGATGAGGTGTTCACCGTCAAGCATATTCTGCTTGAATGCGTGGACTTATCGCCTGCAAGGGACTCACATTATGATGCAACAAACCTAAAAGATCTGTTCTCACGCGTGAGCGCCCATCTGATACTGAACTACCTGAGGGAAGTTGATCTGTATCATAAATTGTAACTGTGAAATGTATCAACCATAAATTGTAACTATGAAATGTAACAAACCGCCTGCCTTTAAATTTGATGCTATGACTTTTTTCTGCTTTCGAATGACAATGTAATCAATAAATGTCTTTGAAATAAAACTCATTCCGAGTATGTACTTACAATGTTTACTAATGCAAACTTGTTCTCGTCACTATATGGCCGGAATAATGCCGATGTGACGTAAAGCCCAACTCAACTCAACTCAACTCTTCTGCATGTTGCCTAATGGCATCCCGTTCTGGATTAGACTGCCAATCATCTGAAAACAGTGACACTTTTAACCTTTCTGTGCACAAGAAGTTTCAAGTCTAGCCATATCTTTCTATGACATCAGTCTACATAATTGAATCTTTCAGATCATGTGAGAAATGATAGTATAAACACACAAATACTGATTAGCTGAACATACTAACCTACATAAATCTGAGGTTGAACATACATTACAGAAAACAAATAGACCCTAACATATCGTGAACACCTGGATAAATGTTAAGCACATCTGACTTGCCTTTGTTACCTTATATAATATTTTTGCAATCATGCCAAGTACTGAATATAACTTTTATTTTATTTACACCACTTAATGATAATGGTAAATAGATACCAGCTATTGTATATTATTTCCTGTTGGTGTTTTATAAAGTATGAATACGTCATTCAATATTGGAAATTAGGTATGTCAAATGATCAAAGTATACTGTTTTCTCAATATGACCCTGAAAAAATATTCTACCACCAGGAGCTTAAATTTACGAATGTATGATTTTTGTAAATTAATGATGTAAATTGATAAGATCCATCTGTTTTTATACAAGTTCAATAGTGTCAGGAATGAGTATTTCATCACTGGTTTCTTCTTTGAGAAGATATAGGAGTTGAAGTACTTAGTAAGGATAAGATATATGGATGAACAACTTTACAATAATTTGGAGCAATGTTTTGATGTGGGTGATAATTCAATTAGAACCTACATCAAAAAGTCTGCCCTTATTGTATTAAACAAGTTGTTTATCCATATATCTTATCCTTATTCTTGTCTCTGTTTTAGATATGTTGTGAAAGAAGAACTTGAGGGAGGACGAGGCCATGCAGCGAGGGACTGGGAGCATCCAGCGAGAAGAAGCAGCGAGCGAGAAGAGGGGTAGAAGCAGCGAGGGAGGAGGGGAAGGGAGGGAGAAGGATGTTACAAAGGAGGAGGGAGCGCTGAGAGAGGGGAAGCAGCTGGACAGGAGAGGAGAAGGAACAGCGAGACAGGGAGTTGACAGTGAGGCAGGAGGGATCAGCAGTAGAGAAGGGTGCACTGAGGGAGGGATCAGCAGTAGAGAAGGGTGCAGTGAGGGAAGCATCAGCAGTGGAGAAGGGTGCAGTGAGGGAGGGATCAGCAGTGGAGAAGGGTGCAGTGAGGGAAGCATCAGCAGTGGAGAAGGGTGCAGTGAGGGAGGGATCAGCAGTGGAGAAGGGTGCAGTAAGAAGCATCAGCAGTGGAGAAGGGTGCACTGAGGGAGGGATCAGCAGTGGAGAAGGGTGCAGTGAGGGAGGGATCAGCAGTGGAGAAGGGTGCACCGAGGGAGGGATCAGCAGTGGAGAAGGGTGCAGTGAGGGAGGGATCAGCAGTGGAGAAGGGTGCAGTGAGGGAAGCATCAGCAGTAGAGAAGGGTGCACCGAGGGAGGATCAGCAGTGGAGAAGGGTGCAGTGAGGGAGGGAGGGTGGGAGAAGCAGTGGAAGATCAGCGGTGGAGAAGGGTGGGAGGCAACAGCAGTGGAGAAGGGTGCAGTGAGGGAGGGAAGCAGTGAGGGTGCAGTGAGGGAGGGATCAGCAGTGCAGAAGGGTGCACCGAGGGAGGGATCAGCAGTGGAGAAGGGTGCACCGAGGGAGGGATCAGCAGTGGAGAAGGGTGCAGTGAGGGAGGTATCAGCAGTGGAGAAGGGTGCACTGAGGGAGGGATCAGCAGTGGAGAAGGGTACACTGAGGGAGGGATCAGCAGTGGAGAAGGGTGCAGTGAGGGGGATCAGCAGTGGAGAAGGGTGCAGTGAGGGAGGGATCAGCAGTGGAGAAGGGTGCACTGAGGGAAGCATCAGCAGTGGAGATGGGTGCAGTGAGGGAAGCATCAGCAGTGGAGAAGGGTGCAGTGAGGGGGATCAGCAGTGAGAAGGGTACACTGAGGGAGGGATCAGCAGAGAGAAGGGTGCAGTGAGGGGATCAGCAGTGGAGAAGGGTGCAGTGAGGGAGGGATCAGCAGTGGAGAAGGGTGCACTGAGGGAAGCATCAGCAGTGGAGATGGGTGCAGTGAGGGAAGCATCAGCAGTGGAGAAGGGTGCACTGAGGGAGGGATCAGCAGTGGAGAAGGGTGCACTGAGGGAGGTATCAGCAGTGGAGAAGGGTGCACTGAGGGAGGGATCAGCAGTAGAGAAGGGTGCAGTGAGGGAGGGATCAGCAGTAGAGAAGGGTGCAGTGAGGGAGGTATCAGCAGTGGAGAAGGGTGCACTGAGGGAGGGATCAGCAGTGGAGAAGGGTACACTGAGGGAGGGATCAGCAGTAGAGAAGGGTGCAGAGAGGGAAGCATCAGCAGTGGAGAAGGGTGCACTGAGGGAGGGATCAGCAGTGGAGAAGGGTGCACTGAGGGAGGGATCAGCTGAAGAGAAGGGTGCAGAGACGGAAGCATCAGCAGTGGAGAAGGGTGCACTGAGGGAGGGATCAGCAGTGAGGGAGGGATCAGCAGTAGAGAAATGAGCAGTGAGACGATGGGGAGCAGGGAAAGTTTGAAGGGCAGCGAGGGAGGAGGATGCAGTGATAGAGGGGAAGCAGCTAGAGATAGATGGGCAGCAAGCGAGGAGAGAGGGAGGGGCAGTGAAAGAGAGGGAAGCAGCGATAGACAAGCAAGGGGGAAGCTAACCTCCATAACAAATATGCAAAAAGCTTAGAGGCGTATCACCTCCCATCAAATGATACCGAGGATGTCAGCCTCGTTAAAACCTGTCGTCAAAGCAAAAGCAAACCAATGCCATACTCAATGCCACAAACTTTGCCATACTCAATGCCAGAAATCTTGCCATACTCAATACCAGAAACTTTGCCTCACTCAATGCCAAACACCATGCCTGACCCAATAGCAGACACCATGCCTGACCCAATAGCAGACACAATGCCTGACTCAATACTAGAAACTATGCTTGACCCTGAACCTGTAAGCAATATTCCAAACTGCTATGAAAGTAACCATGCATCAACAAGCACTGCCTGCTTTAAGAAACTAAAAGACCAATATACTGGTAATACAAAAGCCTCAAAGAACTTCCATGGAAATGTCATTAGAAATTCACCATATGTACAAGGCACATTTGATCAAGGTCACCCCAGATTTGGCCAGCACAGTGGTAAACAGTGTGTGGCAAACAGTACGTCTGCAATGTTGTTCAGCACAATTAAGGATATTTCCTCATGGGATACATATGATCTTGACAAAGTCCTTTGTGCAGGAAATCTACTCTATGACTATATCATAAACCACAGACCATCAACAATTCGTGATGCATACCTTCTAGTTGATGAAATTCCTTCAAGTTTACCCTACTTTGACCAAGAATATACATTTGAAATTGGTGAGTCTCTGAGTGGCTTTGTCATGAAAGACATTATTGAACAAGCAAATCTTCCACAAGTTTTATCTCTAGATGCTGCACTCCAAACAGTATTTTCAAGCCATAAGTCTACTTATGTGACATTTGGAGAAGCAACATTTGCTGTTATTGAAAGAAATGAGAAATACTATGTGTTTGATTCACATTCTCGAAAAGCTACAGGATTGCAAGTGCCTAGTGGTACGAGCATTCTCATTGAGTACACATCCCTCCTTCAGGTCTATGATTACTGTTTGAATCTTGCACATTCAAGGAATCTAAAAGCAGACACACAGTTTGAAGTGATTGGCATGACAATCACCTCTGGTTTTAAGACATTTGATACTTCCTTTGCGAATACAACAAGTGAAATAAATGAGAATGTACATGATGATGTGGTCATCTCTGAAATTGAGACACTTGGTACTTCCTTTGGCAATACAAGTGAGGCAAATGAGAATGATCATGATCGTGTGGTCATCTCTGACACTGAGACACTTGATACTTCCTTTGACAATACAAGTGAGGCAAATGAGAATGATCATGATCGTGTGGTCATCTCTGACACTGAGACACTTGATACTTCCTTTGGCAATACAAGTGAGGCAAATGAGAATGATCATGATGAAGTGGTGATATCTTACATTGAGACACTTGATACTTCTTTTGACAATACAAGTGAATAAATGAGAAGGATCGTGATGTGGTGCATAAAGATGGACTTGATGACAATTTGCAAGATGATAATGTGGAAATAACTGACACTGACGAAAATGCCAGCCTTTCTAATGAGCTCGTTGATACAGTAAGTGAAGCCAATAAACATGATGAGGATTACAGTGATGAAAATGACGCTAACTCACAAGATGGTAGTGTGGAAATAATTACTAGTGATCAAAGCGCAATGCTCTACTGCCATGTATCCACAAGTGTATGTGAACAGTTGTGCAAAAAGCTTGAAATTCAACATCAATATCTATCAAGGGTTTCAGATCATGAGATTGGTGTGGCCATTTGCGAACCATGTAGAACAAAGCCTATTGAGGGAGATGACAATTGTTTCTTTAGGAGTCTCTCATATGCACTCTCTGGGAAAGAAAACAATCACAGGAAAATAAGACTAGCTGTTGTGAAACACCTTAGAAAAAATGCTGAAAGTTTCCATTCACTCTTAAGACCAGGTTATGAATCCATTGAACAATACATCCTGCAATCAAGAATGTGGTATGTTGGAACATGGGCAACAGAACTTGAAATACTTGCAGCTGCAAATCTACTTGGCATCGACATTTGCACATTCACTAACAACAGATGGCTGAGATATTCGAGCAATCAGATAAATTCTGACACACCAAACACTGGAACAGACATATAAATCAAATCATGTTGGTGGATCCCATTATGAAGTGGTTGTTTGTGCGAACACAGCTGATGTCTTGAGAAACTCATGCACAGATAAATACTGTGACAAACATTTGAATATCAATGCACATACCACGAGGAAGAGAAAAGCTGACCATCTGCCTGCAGATATGCTGAATATCAGACAATGAGTTTTGAAAAAAACAAAATCTGATACTGAAGGCCCTGAATGTGTGTGCTCTGTTTGTCATCGAAGACTTTTCAAAACCAGATTATTAAATGCAAAGAACAGTGTATGAAAGCAAAGGTGGCAATGCAGCAGCTGTATCTGAGAAATGAATCACAGACACTTACGTTCACAAGTGCACTGACAGTTGTGATGATCAGTGTTCACTAATGAATAGTCCAGCAGGCACATTGTGGATTTGCTATACTTGCCATACAAAACTTTCGTCTGGTAAAATGCCTGAGAAGCTGTAGCTAACAATCTAGAACTGGGCTCGATTCCTCCACAGCTACAATGTCTGAATGAACTTGAGCAGCACTTGATAGCATTGAATATCCCTTTTATGAAAATGATGGCATTACCAAAGGTGGACAACATGGCGTGCACGGACCTGTAGTGTGTGTTCCTTCTAACATTAAAAAAACACAAGTATCTTACCAAGAAGTGATGTAGATGATCAGATGATCAGAGTGAAACTAAAAGAAAGATTACTTACAAAGGACATTACCAGTATCAATTTGTCAACAATTCCCACATAAAAATGCTGTGGAATATCTACAAAACACAACAAAGTGGTACAGCGATGTCAATTTCAATACACATTGGGTCAATCCATTGCCAGTTATTGAGGAAGAAGATGAAATCAATGATTCAGATTGTGACGCATCATCTAATATTGATAAGGACACACCAAACGCACAAACAACTGAGCATGAAGAGTCTGAGAAAGATCAAGGATTACTCATGAACACCTGTTTACAACCTCTTGATATTGGTCAGGAAGGTCTTGATCAACATTTTGAAAAAGATAACCTGTGTTGCACCAGCTGAAGAAAATAGTCCTGTTCAACTATTGTCAGACAAAACAAATGAAGCAAAATCATTTCCAGTACTGTTCCCATCAGGTTCTCCCACATTCCATGATGATCGTGAGGAGAGCATAACACTTGCACGTTATCTTCACACACGCCTCATGAACGCTGACCGTCGATTTGCTCAAAACACTGACTACATTTTTTATGCACAGTATCTGTCTGAAGTTGATCAAGTTCTGTCAAAAAATTCAATTGCATTGCGAAAAGGATCACAGTCACATGGCAAAATGTTACTTCTGAAAATCTTACAGATTCTGATTCTCTAAGAGATATTAAAACATGATGATGGCTATAAGTTCTTGAAACCTATAAGAGAAACTCCTTCATACTGGCAGTCAGCTCAGAAAGATTTGTTTGCTATGCTAAGACAACTTGGTATTCCAACTTGGTTTTGCTCATTCTCATCAGCTGATATGAGATGGCCAGAAATGATTGAAGCAATACTGAGAGAAGAAGGTGATGAACGCAAAGCCAGTGAACTTGACTGGTCTGCAAAATGTTCTGTACTGAGAAAAAACCAAGTCACAGCAGCCCGAATGTTTGATCAAAGATTTCATTGCTTCTTGAAAAAAGGTCATCATGTCAGCAGCTGAACCCATTGGAAAAATAAAAGACTACTTTTATCGTGTAGAATTCCAACACCGTGGCTCCCCTCACACACATTGCCTTTTTGGGGTTGAAGATGCACCAAAGATCGATAAAGACAGTGACGAGGCAGTAAAATCATTTATTAACAAGCATGTTACATGTGCTATGCCATCGGCTGAGGATGATGAAGAACTGTTTGATATTGTCAACACTGTACAGAAACATAGCAAAAGACATTCCAAGTCATGCAAAAAAACGGTACAACGTGCAGATTCAATTTTCCTCGCCCACCAAGCAATGAAACTTTCATATCACGACTAGGAGGTCAACCAATTGAACCAATGCCTGAAACTGTGGAAGAACTCGACAAGTATCTGAAAAATGTGAATATGATGTCAAGACCAGATGCTCAAGCAATCTTGAAACTGATTTGGGAAACACTATTAGATGATGAGCAAACGTTTGATTCAGTTGATGCAT